GATGAATCAACCCATAAAAAATTTGTAGAATATGAATTGGGTGAAGCTTACCGGAAATTTTCAAATTGAAACCAAAATAGTAATTTTCAAGTTGTACCTTATTGCTGGGGTCATCGCTTATTTTCCTAATAAATGTTGCCAGCTTTTTGCCCTTTTTTATCTCCCATTTTTTAGGGACATACATTTAATTTCAAATACTAACTGAAAAATGATGTATATTGGAAGGTAAATTGTTTTGGTAATAGTGTTAGGATGGATTAGGGAACTTACGAATAACGAGAATTGTTAAAAGAAAAGTTCAATTTTTTTGCCGAGAAAATATAAAACACAGTTATATGAATTAACAACTCAATGCCAAACTTAAGCTTCAAAGATTCATTTGGAGAAAAAAAAAGAAGGAAAACCTAAGTTTAAAAAAAAATATTTATCAATATTAATTATCTTTCTATATAAAAAAAATAAAATTCCACACTAATACATACCATAGATTTGGTGTGGATGAATTCAACTATTAATTTCAAACTATTAACAGAATATAATGTTAAAAGTCATAATTGCTTGATATTTTGGTGTTTAGAGTTATTGAGAGATGCTTATTTGTATTCATACAAGATTGAATAAATTAATGATTTAATAATTAACTATGTAAGAAAGATTTATGAATAAAAAATGTTTTTTAAATTGTAATAATGAAAAATTACCTCAGATAATTAAGGCTATATAATGAAAATTTTTGGCGATTTAAAGAATTGATAAATTGAAATTTGGAAGTGATTTTACTATTATTTTGGTTTAAATAATTTAAAATTATAATTATAGAGAATAAAAAAGAACGCATTTGCTACTTATTAATTGTAATTTTCAAAAAAAAAATACCATTAATAATAATTAAGTATTATAAAATTCTCAAATTGGATCCATATTGAATATAAAAATAATGCATATTAATAGATTCAATTAAATTTTTATTTTTAATTTAATTCCATTCTATGAATATTTAAATAGATAAATAATCATATTTAAATCAAACACTCCCCAACAAATTAAAGATAATCAATTAAAAATCTATAAAATAAAACCGAAAATAAAATGTAAAATTCAAACCAGCTATTAGATTCTTTTATATAGTTTTTGTATGAATATAATCTTTATCCAACTTTTTTTATTAAAATTTTTTTTTAAGTAATGGACAAAATAATGCTATCATTTTTGGCCCCATCACCATGCAAATTCCAAACTATGAGATAAAAAGTATTTTCATTCCTTCTAGTGACAGGAAAAATTTAGAACTGCTGTGGGAATATTAAACTCGATCTGAGTTTGGGCCTGCAGATAAATGCTCAATAATTAATGTATTTTTGTATTAACGCTCGGATTTACAACGCTCAAAAATAAATAATCACGGTAAAACAATTAAATAATTTACCCTGCTGCAATGTCAGATGAAAAATAAGAACACCGAGATTTTTACGTGGTTACCCTATCAACTTGTTATGTGCTACGTCCATGGGAGAAAAGACAAAATAACAAGTAAAAATACACAAAGTGTGGAGAAATTTTTAGGAAATGCTTTCCTAAATTTAGAAAGAGAGGAATTAATTAGTGAGGGATTATTATTTTTAATTAGTCCATACGTAATTATTGAGAAGAAATTTATTTCTGTGGACCAACTCGGATCAGGTTAATAAATCCCAATAACTGGTATCAGAGCTGATGTCCAACAACTGGTTATAAAACTACTGGTAAATTAAATATTTGCCATGTCCTTTTTTATATCTTACAAAACTCAAAATTCCTTCCAAGTTTTTGAAAAGTAATAAATTAGTTGAAAGGATTTATATAATAATATTCACAATTGTTTCAATTTTTTTTTGTTTTGACTGGAATAAAGTAATAAACCTGAATTTAAATTAGATTAAATCAACTCTTACAACATTGAAAAATAATATATCGTTGAGAGGGACATGTACCCACACTTCGCAGATCAGATATAGGCTTGAATTGCACAAGTAGTGATTTGTAATATTAATTCGTTGATCGTGCGAAAAGAACCTTCAGCTAACACACGGAGATAGAAAACGATTAAGAAAGTTATTTTGCAGAAAAGTCAATATTAGTTTTAAAATTAAACATGCTTTTATTTGCAGTTTTTAAGAAGATGAATAAAAGAATGCACGAGGAATTGGTGTTGAAACAAATATAATTATTAAATATGAGGGCTTTGTAGGGTGGGCATGAACCAAAAATGAATTTAGACGAAATCAGAAGGAGATAACAATTGCAAATTTAGGTTTGTTTTTATAAAATAAATTTAGCAATTCAGTTGCCTTCTCTTTTGTTTTGGATTTCACTTGCTTTAGACAAAGGCATAGTTCCATGAAAGTAGCTGTGTTGAGGAAGATGACATTAATTACAGGAAAAAAATAATATTGTATTTTATCTTTCCCTAATTTAGATATGTGATTATTTTGTAAACGACGATCAATTACCTGTAAATAGCTTAATGATAGCTGATGTTTTTAGGAGATGATAATGTTTATAGTATCTCTGTATAATTAGTGGGTTGAATGATCAATAAGAACACACTCAATTCTCCCACAAAATTAATTATCTTACCCTTGATAATTTTAGCTGGTATACATTAACGCCTGGTTTGAGATCTATTTATTTTTCCTCTTTAGCCATGCAGCGATAAAAACAAACTCAGCACAGCCCTATAACTAAAATCTATCTCACCGCCATATCCCTTTGTCCATCATTCTGACAACCTGGTTCCATCTTCTTGTGTCCCGTTAAATTAATTTAACGGTGCCAATATTAATCATGGAGCAAAGCCATGATTCAATGCCTCCTGCCAAAGAACAAAATTGGCTTTAATTGATGGATCCATTGAAGCTCCTTCACAGGTAGAGGGAGCCGCAGATATTTTTGCAGGACTTTTTGGATATCAGTGCCAACAGCATGCAATTTTATCATGGGTTAAACGCACTCTGATATGACTTAATCTAGCCCGAAGGTATACCCGTACATTTGGCAAATCTAGCGCACCAAGTCTGGATTGTTCTTCGGGATCAATTTTTCTCAAAGAAGAATGCACGCAGCCAATTTTCCAAGTTTTCAAATCATTTGCCTAACAATTAGCACAGGGTTACCATGTCAGTAAGCCATTTATTTTACATCAACTGAAGGCGTCATATGGGACGGAAATTAAAGAATATTAAATGATACCCATTCATTCTGTAATCAGACTGAATCGCATTTTAGAACAACTTCAGGAAGACAGGTTTATGATGCAATTTTACCCTGTGGTTCTCAATTGCGTTCACATATAAGTGCGGTAAAGATTCTTTAATATTCTATGATGAACAATTCCAATTAACGTACGTGCGACAAGCATAGCTCGTTAATAGCAAAGAAGAAACGGCAGGCAGGGAGGCCGTTTCATCAGAACCTGGTGGAGAATTTTTCTA